AGTTGGGAGATCACCAAGGGCGAGATCGGATACCTCAAGGACGCTCTCAGGTCCAACTCGACGTGCGGCCACGACCTGCAAGGCCTCATGGAGCGCACGTGGTCGACCGTCGAGGCCTTGAGGGAGCAGAACCCCGGCATTACCAAGGACGAGCTGCGCGTCAAGATCCAGGACACGGACATCGTCAAGACGGACATCGCCACGGTGACCAGCAACTGCATGGAGCTACTGATCTCCCAGTCCGACGAGAAGACGGCCTACACCACGCGCGACAAGCTGCGCAAGACCTTCGGTGTCGTCATCAACGACCTCATCACAACGGGCAAGAGCGACAACGGCACGTCCTACAAGGCCATGGAGTACGCGTACAAGGTGATGAACCAGGGCCTCAACTTCTGGGTCGTCACGGGCTTCGACATGAGCGGCGTCTCGAGTTTCATCTCCGAGTACTTCCAGTCCATCTGCGGCCCGACGCAGTTCATGGGCGAGATCGACGACGGCACGCACCCGGACACGCTGGGGCTCAACATGACCCAGAAGGCGTTCAAGAACAGCACCATGTCCTTGACCAAGAAGGGCGACGGCCAGGTGATCATCAACTTCCAGAGCACCGACACCAAGAACGTGACGGTCAACATTATGTCTGGAGGCGACAAGATCGACGAAATCGACGTCGCTGCCTGTGGGAAAGCCACGTGGAAGTCAACTGTGGAGAAGCTGGGCGGCCCGGACGCTGTATCTGGATCGCTGGCGTCCTGGTTTCCTGGGTCTTCCTGGCACCGGAGGTGCTCTTTGATGCTGTGGGTCCCTCATGCAGCTGAAGGCATTGTCTGTTGAGTCGGCCATTGACCATGTTTCAAAGGTCAAAACTCTCGTGAGTCACACAACACTACATCGGTATAACGCGCACGTGTTGACTCAACACATGTTACGGTAGACCATAACGAAATCATCGATGACTTGAGCACGTCTGATTCAGACGTGCCCAAGTCATCGATCATTTCGAGACGGTCTGAAGCGGTACAACGAAGAAAGAAGGGGATGTCAGATGAAGGTTCAAGGAAAGCTTGACGTCGCACTTCTCGGAAACCAGAGCTTCGTAGAGGTACTCTTGAAGCTGTCCACAACAACTTTAGTGCCACTGATATCAGCTCGAAGCTTTTCCGGGTTCGAAGACGATACCTATCAATTTAGGTTGAAGAGAACTACTGTAAACTGCACTTGGTCGACTCACTGGTAGCGACTGCTCCTACCTGTTGTCGGAACGTGCGCCGACTGCAACAGGATGGCTGCTTCTGCCCCATCGCTCCATTGAAGCCCACCGGTTTTTCCGACTTGTTCACGATGCTCAATACCAGGGACTTCCTGGAGGGCGGCGTGTATGTGTCTAACTCTTAGAGCGTGTTCGCTACGCAGCTGGAGATGGATATCTGCAGGGAGTTGGTGCAGGGAGTTGGTGCATCTCCATCTCCAGCTTGTTCGCTACAACAGAGCGCATCTAGGTAACATTAGCCAATCACAGTGCAACTGCAACGACTCGCTTTACTTTGCTGTTTCTTCGTCGGCCGAGAACACTGTGCCCGAGACACCGGACGCGTGGCAAGATGGACCAAGCTGCCCCGAGAGCTGCGCCTCCGTTCCCGTCAGCCAGTGGCGACCTCGGCCTCTGATGTTGCTCTTTCCCAGACTGTGTATGCGACACCGGCCACTACTCAAACGGAATCAGAAGAAAAAGACCAATACTGGTGAAACGTCTATCGCTACGAAGCAACCCTCCTTTGCGTGGACGACTGCAGCAGCTGATGCTCTGCAGCGGGCTCGTTTTGACACGCTCAAGCATCGTTTTCAGGGCACCAGAAGCGCGAAACAGCTTGCCGCCGCCTGGATGTTAGTCTCCGCAGAAACGTATCTAGTCTCGGGGCTCGAGGTGAAACCCCACCAGTGCAAGTCAAAGGTAAAGTACAAGGCCATCTATGATAACGTGTAGGATTTCTAATTGATTTTGTAAAAAGTAAAGCGCGGCTGCAACTTTCTTCTCAAAGCTATGCTGCCGTACTTTGGCAGCAGCAAACAGAACACCTTGATCTCGTAGTAAACCAGCAACCCGTAGGAAAGTCGGCTTGGTGCAGCGAAGATTCCAATCCAACTTGCATACGCGGCTGACTGTAGCATGAGGTCACGGTACGAATCTGTTCCTTAGGGCCTCGCGGCGCATCGTCGGATTCTCCTGATAGGAGGACTGCAACCTGTGCGACAGCTGAGCATGTAGCAACCAGTACAGCTTCCTCTTCGTCCATTGTGTGTGCGGCTGAACTGCCTCAATCTCCAGCTACTTTCTCCTTCTTCACCTCTGGGAGCTGGAGAAGGAGACGGGGTAATTCTCCAGTTGTCACGTTGTGAACTAAACTATTTTGACCAATCAAAAGACAAGAAATAGAGTTGATGAGAGGCCATCTCCATCTCCAGCTATCTAGCGATTCGCTAGTAGCGAACACGCTCTTAGAGCGTGCAGAAGAAGGCGGAAGGACACGGCAAGCAGCTGTCGATGATGATCACCCACGAGTAAAGGACGATAACAACCTCAGATTTGTACAACAGCAACCACACCAAACGGGCACGAGCAACCATAGCACGATCGACGATTGGGAAATGGACAGGTCGGTAGCTACATACAGAGCGACTCGCTCTGGGAAATGGACTGGTCAAAAGCTAGAGCGACTCGCTCTGAGCGAGACAACAATATTATTGAGAGCATGCGCGCGCAGGTACATGTAACACCTGCGCAAGAAATGTAATTAGGATGCCATGGTACTTATATTTATAGGATTTTACTCTTCTTATTTGCTACGTTGGCCGCGCGGATAATACGCTGATGTAGAAGCGCACGGTAGTTTTCGACATTGAATTTGTCGGAGCGCAACTTATCCATTGATCCACGTAGCGTATGCGGGCGATCTTTCATAATCGCTGTGGATATCTTTTCGATGAAGTAGAGCAGATAAATTCCACAATCAACAGAGTTTTGCTGCTGAGGCTTGGTAGGGGAGGCGTGAAAACTCCATTTAACCGACCCCACCGAAGCTGTTTCTGGGACCCGCTCTTTCGCCAACCACCACTGCATCAAAGAAAACACGTTTGCCGTGTCATGCGCTTCTGTAGCAGAATTAACGTGATACAGCCGAATGACGCCCCCCTGCAGGGGATTCTCAACCGCAAGAAAGCTCCAGTGACTATTACCGTTGACTGGAAGAATAACAAACCGGTACGATACCCAGTCAAATTTCCCTATGTGACCAGCGAGGCGCTCGTCCCTTGCAGCTTTCTCCTTTGTTCTTTTCACGGAATGGCTTTCCCGAGGCATGCAACCATGCACAAAATAATCAACGGCGGACTCTGTCAAAGTCTGATGCGGCATTAGGCTGTCCAGGTCCTCGCGATAGATTCAGCTCGTATCATCACCACACGTCCACTCCAATATTGGCTTCTGCTTCCGCGACCTGGTAGCAGACTGCCTCCGAGGCAAAGAAGTCTTCTTAGCAGCTGTAGGCACCTCATACTCGCTCTCTTCGGACTCGTTACAATCCATACTCTCGCTACTGCTATCGCTTTCATCCGATCCAGCGCTATCGTAGCTGTCTTCATCGCTGTCTTCATCTCCACAGCCATCGAAGGGTACAGCGCCGTCACCGGGGGTTACTCCATCATTTTGACCACGCTCACTGTCGACACCAGGGGTTACGCCGCCATCACGAGGGGTTACACCATCATCACTAGTGGTTACTCCATCATTTTGACCACGCTCACTGTCGACACCAGGGGTTACGCCTCCAGCACCTCCATTCTCCTCGTGCTCACTGTCATCGCCACGGGTTACACCGCCACCACCAGAGGTTGCACCGCCGTCAGTAGAGGGTACACCGCCATCGTCAGGGGGTATACGTGCTGTGTAGCGTTGGATAAACCGTTTTACCCATGTTGCTTGGGACTCTGGAATATCAAAATCCGAGTTGAACTCTTCCAGGCTCCGGCAATAAAACATCACATCGTCAAACGTCCCGTTGTCCTCCATAAGCTCATGAAGGTATTCGATTACTCTCCATTCGTCCGGCTTCATCTTGTGTTTTCGTCCTCCGCCTTCGTTGCGCTTGCGATCTGAGCCAACCTCTTTGTCACAAACATCCCAGTAGCGTTTCACCCAGCCTCTCAAAGTCGATTCCTTGACCTCAAGCTCGACAGCGGCTTCTTCTTGAGTCCAATCTGGGTTATCTACTTTCCAGCGCCTAAGAAGCGCAAGCTTCTCCTTCTCAGTGCGATTCACACACACCCGCCTCTTCATTCGGAAAAGGGGGAAGGGAGGGGGAATTCTCGAATGATAGTCAGCCGTATATGGCCAATCATTTTAGGTATCAGATTTAATCAGATCAAGAGTAAATATCAAATTAACTCGCGCGAGTTATTCTGAATGCAGCACTTTGAGGTTAGTATGAAGTACTTCGGGGTTAGTATGAAGTAGTGCGTAACCGACCTACAGCAGGCCAGGGGGGCTGTATGAGGTTCGAACTGCAGTGCTTACATTCCCTAAGCCCGAATTTGTGGCGATACGCTTATACTTGAGCAGTGGTCGTGAGCTTATCCGGTTAACACGAACGCCTACTCAGCCAAGTTGCCTTTCCGTCCATTGTAGCTAGTAGGGGGTTGCTTGTACAGGATGACAGCAGCGAGGCCCAAGACTTATTGACGCCTGAACAGGACAAGCGCGAAGCGACAAGTGCCGAGCACGAACTAAGTCAAGGGATGATCCAAACTACACATGTGGGCTATATATAACTCAATGGAAACCTCCATTTTGATATATGGAGAGTAGCACATAGTGACCATGTTGCGTTGGCGGCACCAAGTGCTAATAGTTAGCAGGTGCTTCCAAGCCGATGAATTCTAAATTATTAACACGGAAAACGCTGTTGAGAAATCAAGATAGATTCCGGGAGAGCTCGAAAGTGGTTTCGTTACGCGAGCCTGGTTGTTCTACCCACAAAACCAGAAACACCTACAGAGTGGCATTCGAATACATACTATGTGAGTCATCAATTATATCGCTTTGTGACGTAGATGTTTGTAGATCTTGCGATATAAGCAAGGTCCAGGAAACAACTACATGGTATCGGTGGCAACAACCAGCCTCCATTTCAACATTACCGACCTTTTGAGAAGTACTTCAGTCGTAAAAGATGTAATATTCGTATAGACACGCAGGTAGCCTCTTGCCAGGAACTAATCTAACAAAAATTGCATGTCGAGGGCCGCCGTGGCCAGGGGGGACGGCCAATTTGGCGTCTGATGGGGACGGGCTCGGTTGGAGGTGGCAAATGCTCAGATGTGGTTGACGTAGACCATACATATGGCCCAGAACTGGTAAATGTTTCTTGCCAAGTCGCCAAACCAGTCTGAAATGAATATGGGGGAGCTGCAAGGACTTGGCTTGTAACTTGACGGTTTTGCGTGCGTCTGTAACTCACACCGCACAATGAAGGAGGAAGAGAAGGTGAACGCGCTGCGGGGGAGTAAAGCAACTTGCTGCTCCCGTTGTATTTTTCGTGTTTTTTGTGGTTTCCCCTCTTTACTTTTCTCTCTCCTTTCCCAGCTCCTGAGCCTTTTGTGTATCTGCACTTCAACTTACTGTAGAGCAAAAGCTACACTGCAACACGAGCAACAGGTGAGGACCAGTAATTCACAACAGCCCCACCTACTGGTTGTCAACGTTGCACGAGTTCGTGGTAGTCTCGTATTCCCCTTGGGAAATCAATCCCATGCTTGCTCGGTGCTGCTCAAACTTCACA